AAATGGAATAAAATGTACGCAATGACAAATCATCAGCGCAAAGACTCAGTTATTTACTATTTCACGAGGTGGTAAACTAAAATCAAGCAATTCGGAAACTAGGACCGAACATTAATAACAAAAAATACTTTTTATTTATACTTGATGTGTTTACATACAATAAGCAAGTAATTATATTCGCGTCATCAAAAACTCAACGACGGCGATTCACAGAAGGTGACGTGAAGACTACGCGATCAGCACGTGCTGCACTGGCAGCAAGTCTTTCCGCTCGGCTCTGCACGTAGTGACGTTGAGCTGCAGCGCGCTGTGTCGTGTTCTCCACCGCCATACGCTTGTACCGCACCATTACAGCTCGGTAGCTGTTGTGGTCTTCCAATCTCAATGGCATCAGCGAGGCATGGAAGTTGGCCAGCGAGAATTTAAGTCGCTGGATGTCATCATACAGCTTCTCACCCCAAACGAACGTTGCATAGGACACCTTCCACAACATGCTGACGCGGCCGAAGAAGTTCTCAATAATAACGCAATCCAAAAATACCTCCTTGTTCCGGTCAAGGTCATGCCTGTCCAGCGCGCCACCGGAAGGTTTCTTCTTCGGGTGTATAGCACGCAACGAAGCCGCAAGGCCGATGTACCCTTTGTCCACACGAATTTGGATGGTCACGAAAGGGCTTGTCGTTGTCGTTGATCATGGACTCACTTGCTTCCTTAGAGAGGAATCGTTGGTGTTCGTCAAGGCGGTTGCGGATCAACGTCAAATCGGCCACAGCGCCCGGCACATGAGGGGTTATATCGACAAGACGACCGTCAGGTGAGACAGGCGCTTCTATTTTCAGACCTTACAGCTCATATTTGGCGCTGAAATAGTGCTTCTGCTCCCCAAACCTTCCAGATGGTCGGTGGGAAGGCTGAAACTTGACGTCCGTCGCGTACAACGCGTACGGGTAGTGCATAAACTTCCGGCCCAGGCTCATTATCTCGGCATTGTCACGAACGTGTCGTACAGGATCGGTGAGCACAATTCCACAACTTTGACGACGATCTTCTCCAACCTTGGCGCTTTCAGGTTGAAATCGACGGCATGCTTCTCCCAGGACTGGTAGTGATTGGGAACAGTCAGGGTAACATAGAGGGCATCCTTGGGCGTCAACTTGGACTTTCTTCCTCGATCTTCAAACCACTTCGATTTCATTGCACGCTCCACATTGGCCCAGATGATGTCGAATTCGCTTGGAGTGAAGTTTGTCAGCACGCGGAACGCTTCATCGCCAGCCTCTTCAATGACTTTGTCCATAATTAATGGGTTGTTGGCATCTTGGACGTCGTTGTCTTCGTCGGCTGCTTCGCCGTACTCAACCAGACTTTGTTGGAGATGCAGTCTATCCGACGCTGCTGGTCTTGCAGTCGTTCAAGCATTGACGTGACGCGCATGGCAAGACACTGAGTGGTGTTGTGTATTACAAGTTATTCGTGCTGGGGACTTGCAAGACGAATGGATAGGACTTGATATTTTGGCGCTAAATCGTGTCGACCAATTAGAGCGCGTCCTAATCGCAGACGGAGATATACCTCTATATTTGCATCTTTGATCATGAACCTCATCTACTGATCAATAGATTGACGAATTACGAGGTTTCTCGATCTCTGCCGTAGTTATCGATCATTTACTAAAACATAGGGTTACAGTTAATTACGAAGACAGGATTTTTGATCAGCAAACATATTGTATTTTGTATACCACTAAATATATCCAATACATCTACTATTTCATCAGTACCTAATTTACTGGTTCAGTGGCCTGCTGTACAGCTCGTACAATCAAAGGCAACAAATAGTGATCGCAGAAATGTGACGAGCCATGTCGATGTAGGTGTGGGGAAAGCCGCCTGAGTTATAATTATCATGGTCACCCGACGGTGAAAATGTACAAATGCAACCGTCGGAAAAGCTCCATCATTGTCTCAAGTGTAAACTTGGATCCGTTTAGCATCATCACTTCCAAACCATCCCAGTTGTCCACAGACCAATATGAACCGCCCGTTGTTGTTTGCCCTTCTCTTGACGGCTATCTTCGCCACCACCACCACCGCGTTGAAGTGGTGCAACACGACCAAAGTCGTTAACTGGATGAACTCGTGTGACAAACTCGGAAGCAACGACGAAAAGTGCAAGAACAGGGCCTGCCACAGCGCTTTGCACTACATCGTGGATAAGATTGTCCGCGATTGTTATGTGCAATCTGGCATGGGGCCGGCATCTGATCTGGACAAGTACATCGTCCTGAGTAACTACTGCCACAATCAACCCCCCGCGCCCAAGCCCGTCCGTACCACCACCACGCCTGTGCCAACCACCACCACTGTAGCCCCCACGACGGTGGTGCCTACGATCGCCCCAACTTCGACACCTGTGGCCTGCGGAACCGTAGAATAAACTCAGCTTGTCGCATGTTCAATTGTTGTGACGGTCATAGGGGTTAGACGCACAGAAGTTACGAAGGTCCGGAGGTTCGGACTTCAGGACCGGATACTCTCGGCTTGGCCAAGAAGAACACAGCAAGAAAGGAGTAGATCCAATGTTAGGCAAATGTAAAAGTGACCTATCTAAAAGCTAGCTAAAGCTGACGACCTTTGGGGAAAGGTCCTGTAGAATAAAAGGCAAGACGGTCAAATTCGAAGGTAGTCGGCCCGTCGAATAATATACCTTTGCGATGG